AGAGTCCCTTGGACTGCAAGGAGATCCAACCAATCAATCCTAAAGAAAATCAGTCCTGAATATGCATTGGAAGGACTGATGTTGAAGCTGAAGCTTAAAAACTTTGGCCCCCTGATGAGAAGAACTGACTCACTGGAAAAGACCCTGGGAAAGATGGAGGGCAGGAGGAGAAGGGGATGACAGAGGATGAGATGGTTGGATGGCATCACCAACTCGATGAACATGAGTCTGAGCCAGCTCCAGGAGTTGGTGATGGACAGGGAGGCCTGGCGTGCTGCAGTCCATGGGATCACAGAGTCAAACATGACTGAGCGACTGAACTGAAGTCCTAAAAATGGATCTCAATACATCACATAATTGAGCCTGAATGTGTAAGCCTATTTGAAATAACCAAGGTCATTTCAAATGATAAAAGTATGCTTCAACTGTGTATGTTTGAAATCTTTTATAGGTCTGTACACTGCTATAGGAGAACAGCACAAGGAATATAGTCCCATGTGAGAAATAATCCTGCCACTAGAATTTAAGCTCCACAGGAAAAGTGACCACCACATCCTTGAGGTTCAAAACAAACAACAACAAAAATCACTTTTGTATGCACCTCTTCTAGAAATGGGATCCACTACTGTATGTAACACCCCATTTTGCAAGCGAGTTGAGATATACTGCTATCGACTAGAAACTGGCACCTCCACCTGCCTCTACAAGGGTGAGTCGTGTGTGCTAAACTGCTGATTTCCAACACCCACTGCAAGGGGTCAGGGTGGAGAGCAGAAATAAGGCACTCTGGGGTACATACTCTCAGGAGCCCACTTTATGAGCCCAATTCTTGTATCTCCTGTCTCCAGAAAAGCGCTGAACTCCTTCACGGGGACGCCTGCTCCTTGTGACTAGCAGAAACCTTCCACGAAAGCGTGGATCTGACTGCATGTGCGCCCCTCACCTAACCACACACACGCCGAGCCCACCCCCGCCTCCCTGGGAGCGCTCTTTCCTCCGTCCCAAGTGCTGTCTCCCGTGCCGCAATCCGCATTTTGCCCCAAAGATAACTTGACTCATAACTCTCACATGGAACATGTCTTTAAGCTGACACCGTTGCATATACAATGTACAATCTTATAAACACTGTCCTCTTACAAATTTTAACGAGACATTCTGTTGAGGAAATTAGTATAATACCACAAAAAAAAAGAAAAGCACAGAATAGACTTAGGTTCTAAATATGATTTTGACGGTTACTAATTTTCCAACCTTAAGTCAGTGGTGTAACTCTCTAAGCCTCCACTGCTTCTGTAAAATGAGAAGACAGTGCCTCCCTCCAGAGGCAGGATAAGTATCGGACACCAAACATGAGCAAAGGAAGGCGCATGCCTGGCACATGCTTGGCTGCTGGTAGCCTACTGGCAATGTTAACCACAAGATTAGCTCTTCAGCAGTAACAGGTACTCCACACACAATTCAGAACTTTAAAATTAAAGGAAGCAGACTACAAAAGTATGGCAAACTTCACTTCTTACCTATGAGTGTAATATTAGGGTTTCGCTTCTTAGCTTCCTTCATTAGCCACCATTCATATCCTCGGAAATAATTCTCATCTAATGCGTAGTGCATGTGGGAGGGCTCTGTGCCATCTGAAGGGAGGAGAGCAAAGCAGAAGGAGACTATTAGTGGTGCTTCAGAGGCCACACTCCACACACACAAACACACTGCAGAGAAGTAGGTTTCAGTTCCAATCCTGACCTGGGGCACCGAAGACTCATCTTATAAAACTTAAAGGTAGATGATCAAAGCGTATTACTGCACTTATCCATTACCCTGAGCATCACAAAGGTCTTAAATAATAAACGACAACTTTCTATCATAAGCTGTGAGTGTTATCAGCTTATATAGTTGAAAATTTCTAGGACTAATATCCTGCTGGGAGCTGGTCTCTCAGGTTTTCAAATCCCCACGCCCAGCTCTAAGTTCAGCCCACCTCAACTTCTAGCATCTCAATCCCAGACGTGAATCCTGAGCTGCTAAGCTCCAATTTCCAAACCCCGTGCCTTGGGCCTATAACATGCCTCCTTAAATCAAGACAACAGAATACTGGGAAAATAGGAATAAGCACACTTTCCCATTGTAAGAAAATTCTATAGTAATCTCTATAGGGTGTCTAGGTAGGTAAATAACATCAATCCTCACGTGTTACCATGTTTCACAAACATCTGGTCTGGGAGAGGCGCCCTAGCCCTTTTCTTCTTAAACGTAAATATCAGAATTCACAAGAACTACCTGCTTCTGTATCTCTATCTCTAATCTAGCTTCAGCAAATGAAGATGGCCAGCCATTATCTATTCTGCAAAAAAGAGTTTCCTGACAAAATGCATGTCTTCCTATAACAGCTAGGGGATGGTTCTGTTATGGGGATTTCTTTTGTTTTTAATTTTCATTTTTTCTTTCAGAATAAATTAAATACCAATACCACCACACAGACATATCTGTTTAACAAAAATTACTTACAAGACACTAACAGAAACATGGGCATATAGACAATTCTCTAAGGTTTACTATAATGGAGTCTAACCTATAAAAAATAAGCTATATATAATCATTGAGAGAATTTTCTTCTTCCTGAAAACCAGAGACCTAAAAAATTTTTAATTGACTGCATGTTTTACACAAAGCCAATCAAAATGATGACAATAAAGACTGCAAATTTACTGGTTAAAATTATTTTATTTTTAAAGGACAAAAATGCTGTATCTCTGAAATACCAATTATATTTTGCCACATATTTTATTTAAAGCTAATAACACCTTTTTTTTTACATGTTTAATACGTTAAACTTACTTTCTTAAAACTTCTCAGTAAAATTTCACTCTCTCCCTATTCTCTGTTTAGTGACTATTAGTTTATAAAAAACTGTGGATTTATTTACTACTGATTCTTCAACTAAATAAGAAATCTAAAGTCCACAAGCTGTTTTGTATGAAAAAATACATGTGTTGATTTAATATTTTTAAAATAACTATAATGAAAAAGGAACAATAAAGAACAATCTAAACAGTAATCAAAATCAGAAATGTTGGCATTATTTATATTCTGAAACCACAGTCTATGAGTTTAGGTACAGGTTCAAATATTGGAGGCAAATATCCCAGTCCCCAAATCCTCCTACCTGTTGTCTGCCCATCACCACCTATTTCAACTTTTAGAATATGCAAAGAGGCACCGAAGTTTGGCTGGGGAAAGAAGTAACAATATTTACAGTGTGGTTCATTATATGAAGGGTAAAACATTTCAAGACAATTACTAATCACTGCCTTTGATTTTACAGATAAGAAAATCAAAGCAAAACTTCAAATAGATAGCAACTTATTCCAAAAGTAATTTACCAGATTTTTAAAAACTAGAATTGTGAAGATGCTAAAGACTATTGCTGAAACTCACCACAGTTTCTAAAATATCACAGATACCATTAAATCATTATTTGTTCACTACCTTAAAGAGATAATCCAGTATTTCAGAACGGTAGGGCTCTGGGTAATTTACTAGAAGTCGGGAGGTTGCCTAAAAAAAAAAAAAAAAAGAGTTTTCAAAAGCATGAATAAAACAAATATAATCATGAGCACTTATTCACGGTGTTTATGCATGCCATGCCATCTAGCACGTCCACAGTTAGCCAGCTCTTGGGCAGCACCAAGCTGTGGGAAGTCGTTTCCCAGGTTCTTTGTTCGCCTACCTTTGTCTTGCTCATCACTGGGTAAATAGGGCTGATGTCTGTCCAACAGCTAAAACACAAGTTCCCAGCAACAACCACGTTTCTCTTCTACTGAGATGAGGGTTGGTGATGGTTGGCTGGGAGGTTAAGGTTGCTAAGTCTATTGATGAATCTCATTATTACAGATTTATCTTGAGGACCTAGACTCAGAGAGTGGTTATTAGAAGAAATAAAACAGTTTCTCTACCTCAAGACTGTTTGTCACCTACAATATCTGAGGGCCAAGAATGGGAAAGACGAATCTCAGGCAATTTTTCCCTCAGTATCTTGTAGGAAAATATTACAAGCAGCAATTCTAAGGAACTTCTACTCTGCTCAGTCTTATTAGAGATTTATAGGTGCCATCTCTTGCTGTTAAGAATGACGATACAATGGTCCCCAGGCCAGGCTGTACAGGAAACCTCACACAAGACTGGCATAAGCACTATTTACAATAGCTAGGACATGGAAGCAACCCAGATATCCATCAACAGATGAATGGATAAAGAAGCTATGGTACATATATACAGCGGAATATTACTCAGTCATAAAAAGGAATGCATTTGAGTCAGTTCTAATGTGACAGATGAACCTAGAGCATATTATACAGAATGAAGTAAGTCAGAAAGAGAAAAACAAGTATCATACACTATTGCACATAGATGGAATCTAGAAAGATGGTACTGATGAACCTATTTGCAGGGCAGCAATGGAGAGGCAGACATAGAGAAGACTCATGGACACATTGAGGGAAGGAGAGGGTGGGACAGACTGAGACAAGAGCATGGAAATGCACACATTACCACACGTGGAACAGCCAGTGGGAATCTGCTGGAACTCAGAGCACAAACCAGTGCTCTGTGACAAGCCAGAGGGGGGATGGGTGGGAAGCGAGAGGGAGGCTCAAAACGGAGGGGACACATGTACACCTGTGGCTGATTCACGTTTCTGTGTGGCAGAAACCAGCACAACGTTGTAAAGCAAGTACCCTCCAATTAAAAATAGAAAAATGTTTAAAGACTGGCATCAAAACGCATGGATAAAGGTGGGAGAATAAAGAGAGAAAAGAAATTCCCTCCCCCCAAGAGCTTTCAGAATAAAGTTCAGATTGTTCAGTTTTACACCCAAATTCCTTAATTATTTGGATTCTCACATCATCTATGTAGGTATAACAGACTAATATATCTTTCTTCTGTCTCCATTACTGCCTTGCAAATAGGTTCATCAGACCATCTTTCTAGAGTCCATAAATATATATTAATATATGATATTTGTCTCTTTTGGACTTACTCCACTCTGTGTAATAGGCTCTAGGTTCATCCACCTCATTAGAACTGACTCAAATGTGTTCCTTTTTAAGGCTGGGTAATGTTCCATTATATTTATGTACCACAGCTTCTTTATCCATTCATCTATCAAATGTACTCTACACCCTCATCTGACCAAATCCAGTCCAAGTTTTCCGGTCAAACTCCACCTCTTCAAGGAAGAATCCCCTCTGCTCTTCCTCAGTGTTGTGACGTAGGTGCCTCTCCTGTGGACTGTGGCCTCCCTCAGCAACAGGTCCACGGTGCTAGCATTAATCCCTCTATCCCCGCACCATCATCACTACTTCACCTCTAAGATCCTTGGGGACAATGACTGGGCCTCATTCAAGTTCATATCCCCATTTATTCTCTTGTTCAATAAGCATTTATTTAATATCTCTTATGTTATCATTTGCTTCACCAGTACGGGCAACATAATATAGTCTTTGAGACCATGGAGCTGGAATCCTGATTACATCATTTACAAGCAGTGTGACCAAGGGCAAATTATCATTTGCCAAGGGTCGTCTTACTCATTCAGCTGTCCCAAGACTAAATTCAGATATAGGCAAGGACTTAGCACAGTAGCAGGCACATAGTAAGGTCTCAAGAGATGACAGGCATTGTATACACAAATTGCTTTTAAAAATAGTCATTTCCTCAAAGAGCTTACAGACTAGTAGAGGCTCAAACATTAAAGCGAATGAGTGCTGTATATGCACGCTAACCTAGTCTTGACCCGAGAGAAACAATGCTGCCTGCTCTGTATTATGACAACAATATATACTGCTGCTAGAACAGCGTGTTTGGCTGCTTGGAGCTTGTCTTGCTCTCTATGTTCCTCCACCCTTAACAAGTAAGGGGCCAGCTTTGAGCAATCATACCCTGTCATTAGGATATTGCCAGCTGATAGCCACACCCAGTGCAAAAGCATTAGTTTTATCAGTGGCAATAGTTAGCAGTATAGCCAAGTATTGAAATGTACCATGAAGCAATAACAAATCACCAAATTATTGCTACTAATCATGCTCCCTAAATAAGGCCTGGAGTTGTTTATAACAACCTAGGATGAAGTCTTAGGACAAAAATTGGAAAACAGTTATGTTCTCAATAAATAGCAGGCACTGAATGTATTTTTCACTTAAAATCCTTGGATAACTTCCTCCCCCCTAATGTATGAAACAGAATGATATTAACTAAAATTAGTCACGTTGCAGATGCCATCTTTTGATCTTTGACACCTATCCTCACAATGTTCCAACCAGGCAGGTATCACTGTGTGCCCAGAAAAAAATCTGAGCTACAGAGAGGTTAAATAACCTGCCCAAGGCTGTACAGTGAGTGACAAGGAGGCCCAGAACAGATCCCTGGCAATCTGGTCTTAAGTCCATGTGCACCACACTGCTTTCCCTACCAAATACGCAGATTAAATGAGAATATTCCAAACACTGCTACAAACTGTGCTACATACCGGAACTCCAGAAAGGAGTGACATGCAAATATAGTACTGCAATCATTTTCATTCAATCGGTATTTATTGAACTTCTGAGATGAGTAATACATTACACACAGGGACGCTATCAGAAAAGAGTTTCCTGTTCTGAGTTATGAAACAAACATCATTTTAAACAGAGTTAATAAACATAAAATAACAAAAGATTTCCACTTTGAGCAAGTTAAACAATGGATTTAACATCAAAGTAAAGGTGTTAGGACATGATGAATCCTCATTTTATGAAATACTGGCTATTCTAGGTTTAAACCACCAAAATAAAAAAGAGAACGATAGTAGTAAAGGATAAATATATTAGCACATTAGTCTACTGTTTATCTTGAAATATGTACCAACACCTATGAGTAAGGTTGCAACATTTGGAAATAAAAGTGTAAAAATCAGCTAGCTTAGGGAAAAGATTTTTTGCCCAGAGCAGAAGGTCAGATCTGCAATCAGACTAAAGATTTAGTCATCCACTGTCATTTTCTTTCTGGAGAGCAAGGGCCTAACTGAAGTTCTGATTGCCCAGGAATCCACTTTTCAAAAATAATTATGTTTTATCATATGTCTACTTAAAGCTAGTCACCCAAATCTCATTGGTAACTTGAAACCTTAGAGTTTTGCTAAGTTAAATGATGGAAATTCATTACACACATAATTTCCAAATAATATAAAATGCTGCAACATTACTGAACACAGGTTTATCTACTTTTGGTTTCTTATTACAGAGAAACAAAAGATATTTAGATCTATCAGTAAACACATCCTGTCATTAGAAATTAGGTTTCTAAGAGTTAAGTACTCTAATTAATATATGTAATTAAAATACTAGAAATAATATGAGAAACAATTCAAGAAAAACAGGATGTATTTTGGCTAAGAAAAGGTATGAGGTAGGGAGATATATTTCTGTTAAGGGAAATGAAAGTAATTCTGTCCTAGAGTAGACAAAATGAATGGATATAGAAGCTGGGAGAGAGAATTTTACCTTGTGTAGTCAAGCTGGCTAAAAATGAAATAAGGATTTTTTAAAATAAGCTTTAATAAATAGCATACTTATGAAAAACTAAAAATTCTTAATCTTCTAAAAAGACAAATTTTTATTAGACTATTGGTCTGTTCTTGATAAGCTTAGGAAAGATTCTTTACCTTTTAAGGAAACTACGTAGGAAATAAAGATTCAGATATTATCAAAATAATATTCTATGCTTCACATTATCTCTATCAAATCTTTACTTCAAAAAAAAAAAGAAACCCTGAGTCTTCTCTATTAGAAGAGCTAAGGTTGTGGGTGGGGGTGGTTAAACTGGGTTTAAACTATGTAACTTTATATATTTGCCTGTGAAGTTCTTGTCATTTTGGTTAAATGGATAATTAAGTATNGATCCTGTGAAGTAGGTGGGAGTGTGTGTGACTCGTAGGGTTCTGCCTGATTTACTGATGGCAAAACTGAGCTTCAGATGATTTAGGACATGTTCCTGGGTATATAGGTGGTGGTGGCAGGACCAGCACACAAAGCAGTGTCTTAGACTCTAAGCTCCCAGCCGAAAATTCCATAGAACAGGCCTCTGGGAGTTCAAAGAAGGGGAACGTGTTCGTATGCCTGGGCACCCTGCACAGACCCCGTCCTCCTTGCTCTCACAGGTTTGGAAGAGACCCCGAAAACTGACCTCGAAGCCGCCATCTAGACCCTGACCCCTTCCTCTCTTGCTCTACGAGTTCTGTCCTCTTTTGGTGTTTCTAGAGTTCCCACCAGAAGGGGACGACAGGATGAGATGGTTGCATGGCATCACTGACTCAATGGACATGAGCTTGAGCAAGCTCCAGGAACTGGTGATGCACAGGGAAGCCTGATGTGCTGCAGTCCATGGGGTCACAGACAGACACGACTATGTGACTGAACTGAACTGATGGAGCCAATGTCCGTGAACTCTGTACCATCATTTTGGCTGCAGTCTTCAGGCAAGAATACTGGAGTGGGTAGCTGCTCCCTTCTCCAGGTGATCTTCCCAACCCAGGGATCAAACCCAGGTCTGCCACATTGCAGGCAGGTGCATTGCAACCCATTGCAGTGGGCTGCAGGCATGGAAGTCCACTCCAGCATTCTTACCTGGAGAATCCCCATGGACAGCGGAGCTGGGCGGGACACAGTCCATGGGGTCACAAAGACTCGGACATGACTGAGAGACTGACCACAGCACATGGAGCCAATAAAGCTCCCTGGAAAAATCAGCCTGGTAACTTGCTTACAGGGTTCCCAGGAGCCTGACCAGCTAAGTAAAAAAGGTCACTTCTTGGCAGTTGCAGGAATCTCAGAATGTTGGTGGACCTCCAGAAGAAAGGAATTCACCCAAATCTATCAGGATTGCAGAGAAAGTCTGATGATAAGTTCACGGCTTGGCTTCCTAGCCTTGAGATTTATAATAGCCCAAACTGTGATTTCTTGCACAAATGTCCAACAGAGCACACTTAAAGTAATTATTTTGGCTGCACTTATATAATCAGGGCAAGTTTAGTAACACTATACTTATTTTGAAAGCAAATTAGCTTTATTTTGGTTATCTCTAATAAAAGGTGGAAGTAAGGGGTGATGATAGAGAGAAAATTATATTTCAGTGAAGAACTAGAGTACACTCTGCAGATAACGGGACTGTAGCCTTCCAGGCTCCTCTGCCCATGGGATTTTCCAGGCAAGAATACTGGAATGGATTACCATTTCCTTCTCCAGGGGATCTTCCTGACTCAGGGATCAAACTGGGGTCTCCTGTACTACAGGCAGACTCTTTACCATCTGAGCCACCAGGGAAGCCCAGTATCAGATTCTAGTCCTATCAATTGTCTCTGAGGTTTGCTTTCTACCTGTAAACTGGAACAAATACTGAATTCTTTTCACTTCCTCCAATATCTGAATACAGCATTCCACCTTTCTGACTTTAAATTATTAAGAACTAAAATTTCCCTTTTCCTGAAGTTATGCAACCTAAAGTGTGATAACTTTATGCAAACTCCAGAGAAATCACAACAGTTCATATCTGAACAACCCTCATGCCTGTTGCTCTGTGGACCACTCAGAAAGATCCCCAGAGATAGTCAAACTCAATCCAGGAAGATCTATGATTGCCACCGTCTGTCCCCACTCCATCTGAAGATGTTCTACATCTAGACATCATGACTGACTGCCCTCAGGATTCAGAACAGGTTTACAACCTGCTCCATTAGCCATAGTTTTCTTTTGTTTTCATAGAAATGTATATTACATAAACTGAATCAAGTATTTGCACCATACAGACCTAACCTTGTAAGCACACTTGCATCACTGTCTCCTGAAATGAGACACAACCCTTTAACGGAACTGACCGTGGCTGGGTGAGATATGGAGCATTCCACCAACCCGGGACAGACTCAAACGCACTAGTATCAGATGACCCAAAATGTTCATCACAGTATTACCTCATCTTTGGACAGATTCCTCGGGCCCCAAGGTCACTCACCTGGTTTCAAGGTGTGCCCTTTTAAGCTTAGGGCAATGGCTACCAGCTGGATTGCAGACTACTGACTGTAGTGTAATTACAGGAGTGCTACCATAATCCTTCCTACATTACAACAGGCCCTATCCCGTACTTTCAGTAAGTCAGCTATTGAGGCAGTTTAAGGTCCTCACCACTTACTCTGATACCTAGGCATTAAGGGTGGCTTGTAGTGCAATCCCCAGGTCAGGTTTCTCCTTTTTTGTAATGTAAGTGCAGGACTCGAGCTTTGATTGCAAAGCATCCACTTCAAAGACGTATCCACTTCCGAGATGACTGTCTCAAATAAACACACTGCAGCCAAAGAACCCAGAGCCAAGCTGACGTTGGGGGGAGGGGGTAGTTCTTTGCCAGATTAGAGCCACTTTTTCTTTCCCTGAACTCTAAGTTCCCACATGTAAGGTTTCAGTTCACCAATGAAAAGTAAGCCACAAAGCCCAAGGCCTCCACCCTTGACCCTAATGAAAGCAGAACCCCAGGCCCACACCCTCTCTCTCTCTACCTACAATCACCAGGTGTGACCCAGGCATGCCATGTGCTTTCCAGAACCTATGAGTAATAGACTTTTTTTTTGTTCAAAGTCTTCTGATGGTTATCACCGAGGGCATCTTGCAATCCTAAGAACCACAGGGCCAGTGCAACAACAACACTGGTCATCAACAGGATGAGACCAGCCCGAAACAGCCCCCCAGCAAGCAAGCGTTCAAGCTGGCTCTGAATTGCGTCCAAGGACACGTATTCCATCTCACTCAGCTCAACAAACAACCCATTCAAGAGTTCAGCCTTGCCATTTTCAAATAAAATCGGCTCTACCTCTGTCCTGGGGAACAAAAAAGAAAATCCCTCTCATCCAAAGACCTGCCACCACAAACGCCATGAACTCAAAGGCTATAAACACAAGGGGATAAAACAAAGGCAAGACAAAGGTTACAGAGAACAAGCTGACGGGACTAAGCAAAATGTTAGGAGCCAAGAACAATCACGCCACTGAAGCAAGCTGCCAGGCTTGGGAGCCACCTATTCGCATAGCTAGGGAACTAAGGAAATTACCAGCTGTGCCCATGCAGACTTTGCATTAAGCTGGTGTGGCCCTCAGGTCTCCCTTAAGTATTTTAGAATGCCTAGATAAGAGGAACTTACCCCAACTGACACAGTCTAGAAAAGACTGAGACAGGCCAGTTAAGTGTAATGAGTACCCTGTGTGGGATCTTGAAACTGAAAAAGAGCACTGGGTAACTAAGGAAATACGAAAGGAAGTTAAGGACTTTCACTAACGCAATCAACACTGCTTGGGACAAATGTCCCATACCAACGTGAGATGCTGATAATAGGAGAAAACTTGGTTACAGGGTATACGACAACTCTGTATGGTCTTGGCAATTTTTCTGTAAATCTATTTCTAAAGTTAAAAATTCGTTAAAAAAAAAAAAAAAAAAAAAAAAAAAAGAAAACAGGCTTGCTCCAGAGATCCTTGAATCAATAAAAGAGTTCTCTCAACACCTACAACGAGAATCAATTGGTGCCTTTGTTAAAAATTTGTTAAAATGCAGGTTCTCAGGCGCCACGCCAGAACTTTAAAGTAAGAATGGGAGCTGGCGAGGCCAGTCTGCATTCAAACAAAAAGACCAGGTGATTTCTTCTGTACCTTAACGTTTCCCTCTCTCCGTACACATAAACAGCCGCCAACGAGGCCTCTTCCAGCGGGCAACTCACCCCCTTAAGCCTTTGCCATCTGAGGGCAAAACAGTGATCCAACAGTTAAACAATCCGAGACTATCAGCTGATACTGGTGTAGCCTGACATTAGAAAAAAGACTTTTAAAAGCCCCAGTTTTGGCTTCCCACCTTCCTAAAGAGAACCAGAGGCACCTGTCGTCACTTTAAACAAAAACCTACCGGACGCCTGCCCCCCTTGAAAAGAGCCCAACCGCAAGCTGCAGTCCTGGTCCGGGACTCTCCGACCCCCCGCCCCCCAAAAATAACAGGTGCAGTCAAAACATCCCTCCGGGGCATCCTCATCGGCAGACGGACGCTCCTCGGGCCCCTGGCCATCTCTGGAGCGAGCCTCCCGGAGTGCCCTCTCAAGGTGAAGAGACCCTTCCCCTCAGGGCCCCCTGCTCAAGTTGAAGGAGGGTTTGAGCCCCCCGCCCTGTCACTATCTAGACCTGTCACTAACTCGGTGAACCTCTGGACCCTCATCTGGTTAACCTCACTGTCTCTATGGGGTCATCTTAAACCAACAAACGCGAGGTACAGTAGCGCGGCCGTGGCGTCGAGACAGCCACGGACCGGCGCCCGCCTGAGGCGGCGACGCGCGCGCGTCGAAACACTGGGGCCGCGCCGCGGGGGCTTGTGGGACGGGGCGGGACCGGACGCCCCCCGCCCCGCTCCGCTCCTCACCCCGCCGCCGCTGACCGCTCCGATGCCGTCGAACTCCCGGCCCAGCCCGTCGGAGTCGTCGAGCACGTACGCGCCGCTGCGTGCCAGCAGCGCGCACAGCAGCAGGGGCACCGCGGCTTGGCCCGCCAAACCCGCGGCGGCCGTCATGGCTTTCGCCCGGCGTTGCCGGGAGGCCTGAATTAGGCGCTCAGCCATTGTGTGACAGGTCATATGACTCGGGCGCCCAGGGAGGCGGGTCCGGTCGCCGCCATGATGGAGAAGGGCAGGAGGCTGCGGGTGCCGCCGCCGCCATGTTGAATGTGGGCTGCAAGTCGCTGACGCCGCCGCCTTCGTGTTGTGGGGGTGGGGAGCGAGCCTTTTCTAGCGGGCCCTACGTCAGGGCTTGACTGCAGGTTTCTGCGTTTGTCACTTAGGTGCCCCGCCTCTGGCATCACCTACTGGAGCATTTTGTCGAAGAAAAAGATGGGTATCCAAGGCCAAGGGAGCCGTGCAGTGAATGGCCTACCATGGACCTGCCCAAGCATCAACATTCAGAAAACTGAGATCGTGACATCCAGTCACATCACTTCATGCCAAATAGATGGGGAAACAGTGACAGACTTTATTTTGGGGCTGCAAATGGTGACTGCAGCCATGAAATTAAAAGACATTTGCTCTTTGTAAGAAAATTATGACCAACCTAGACAGCATATTGAAAAGCAGAGACGTTACTTTGTCAACAAANGAGGCTGGATCACTCACTTAATTGCCTATTCTTCCATCTATTTTATTGTTTCTTAAATAATCATTATTGAACATCTACCAAGAATTGATGCTTTTGAACTGTGGTGTTGGAGAAGACTCTTGAGAGTCCCTTGGACTGCAAGGAGATCCAACCAGTAAATCTTAAAGGAAATCAGTCCTGAATATTCATTGGAAGGACTGATGCCGAAGCTCTGATACTTTGGCCACCTGATGCGAAAAACTCATTGGGAAAGACCCTGATGCTGTGAAAGATTGAAGGCGGGAGGAGAAGGGACAACAGAGGATGAGATGGTTCGATGGTATCACTCACATAATGGACATGAGTTTGGGTAAACTCCGGGAGTTGGTGATGGACAGGGAGGCCTGGTGTGCTGCAGTCCATGGGGTCACAAAGAGTTGGCCACAACTGAGCAACTGAACTGAAGCGTCTCCGGGAACTTGTATCATGTGCCAGTAGGTGGCTGAACTAGAAAGAGGACCCACTCGCAGCCTCTGTCTTAGTCCCCATTCAGCTGTCACCTCTGGAGGATCACTTAGCTTCCTGAGCCTGAGTTTCCCCATTATGTAAGAGGAAACAAGAAGACCAGCTGCAGGGGGGACATTTGATTAAATGGCCTACAAACAAGGAAACAGACAATGCAGTAAATCCGAGCTGAGAGTGTCACCCACTTAGGAAGTGTTCACTGGTAATTCATCCTGATACCTACTGTGTAGCTGCGTAGGGTACTTTCTGCTGCCAGTTGAAATGGTTCGCAGCGGATACCCCTAAATTGGTAAGAAAGTTGTGAATTGTGCTGGGATTCCTGTCACATCTGACACTAAGCTGAGGTTTCTGATTTCCTTGGCATTGAAGCAATTTGGAGAGACCACTGAGAGACTGCAGAGAAAATATCTCTGAGCCCAATATCTCTCTATACAAAGCCATGGAGTTGGTTTTCAGTGCCTGCACAAACCTGGGATACCGCAGGCAGGGATACGGCCCAAAGGCTATTTAGGCCGAGGGAGCCTTTGTCTACAGGGTTCTGTTTGGGATCTGATTGTTTGGCCCTTTGCTGCAAACCGAAACTTAAGTGTCAGGACTACGAGTATGTTAAGGAAAGTTTATCTGAGCAGTACCATAAACACACTCATCAGGCCCTGAAGGGCATCTGTAGGTTCGTAGTGGCCAGGATGCTTACTCTTAGCATTTCCCTAAGTTACTGTCTACCTACTATTACCAAACAGTCCCAGCTGGTGTCTAATGTCCTAACCCAATTATTAATAGTGTCCCTTTCACCCTCAGAAATGTTCTGGCTTGAAGGATAAGTTATATAGTTCCCTGTGTATTGTCACTTGTTTCCTTTTATGTGTTCTTTTTTCCATACGGCACTTATCTGACCTACTTTCCTTATAATCACCATTCCATGCGATTATCCTGTATTCAGGTGTGTAGCTATTCAAGTTCCATGGATTTCTCTTCCCAGAACGCTGATCCATCTGTTCTAACAAACTTGTAAACATAGGTTGGAGCACCAGTGGATGCCAGACGTGGTTGATAAGTAAATGTTAAGCTTCCTACCAACCCTGAGATTTTTTTATCTGTGATATGCACTGCAACCCCATGGACTGTAGCTCTGTCCATGGGAGTTTCCAGGCAAGAATACTGGAGCAGGTTGCAATTTCCCGCTCCAGGGATTGAAGCCGAGTCTACATGCATCTCCAGCATTGGCAGGCAGGTTCTTTGCCAGCCGAGCCATGGGGAAAGCCTTAAAACACATGCACAATAATGAAACCAGAAGGGAAGTACCAAGGTGGAAATAGAGGGAAAATACAATACAAGCAAAATTGGGAACTTGGAAACCAGAGCCCAGCATATGTCATCCTGTAGTGCACCGGTGTACCTTGTATTTGGGAGACACCCTATAAATATTTGTGCAGTGTGCAATAGCTGGGCAAGAGGAAGCAGAAGGTTTAACAGAAATGTATACAACTAGTTCCTATTAGTTCATAACCAAAGAAATTCCTTATCAGGGAAAACATCTCTTGTTTCAAATTTCTCATTTATGCTCAGGAAACCATTAGACAAGAAAGTTTCTAATAAAAAAGCAGTAAGTACAAGCTAAGAAAGAGATACTTGAACTGCTGGGCACAGCACTGCTACTTGTTGAAGATGTGAAATAGAGGGAAACAGCAGTTACCAGACAAGTCTGGTCGGCTTCCCTCGCTTCTGTTTTATCAGGATCCCTGAAATATACCAGACAATAAGAAAAGAGGGTCTCCCCAGAGGAATCGGGTGGAGAGGGAGGTGGGAGGGGTGATCGGGATGGGGAATACATGTAACTGCATGGCTGATTCATGTCAATGTATGACAAAACCCACTGAAATGTTGTGAAGTAATTAGCCTCCAACTAATTAAAAAAAAAAAAAGGAACATTTTTCAAAAAATGAGAAAAAGAAAAGAGGGTCTCTCAGTTCTCAAAAGTCAGATGAGTTTTAAAAATAAGGAGTTTTTCTCTTAAATAAACAGTGTTTCTTAGTGTCAAACTGCATTTCAGCCCCAGCAAATTTCTCAGTTTTCTAAAGTGAAAATGTGATCAGAATCAGATGATCCTTTGAGGAAAGAGCGCAATCTTGTCTAAAAGATGAAACGTTGCTGATAAAGTTTGCTATCTCACTTTCAGAAGTGGTTTTACTTTTAGGAGTCTGAATTAGGCTGCCAGAAATTCAAAGCTACAGGGTCCTCTTCTTCTTTGTACTTAAGTGCAGCAGTGTGCAACCCAAGGTGGGTACTCAGTATATATGTTGAAATTAAACTTAAATTGAACTTAAACAGAAATCACTGGTGTGATGGTGCCTCAAATCACTGGGAAAGACGGGCCTTTTAAAACGTAATATTGAGAAAAAGATCAAATTTTTGATCTATGCCTCATACCACATCTAAGTATAACTGCCAAATGGACAAAGCTCTAAATGTTTTTTTAAAAATGGAAACATAAAAGTTCTATTAGAAAATACAGACAAATTCCTGTGTAACTTAGGGGTCTGTATAAGACTCAATTTCTTGACACAACAAAATAAAAGTTTGATTTTTAGGAAAGTCACTAAATAATCATATAAGGGGATAAGAAAAAAAATTACTTCCAGATAAGTTGGAAGTGTTTCTTAAAGTAAGAGTCCTCCAGGGTCAAAAGTATGAAGTGTTCTCTTTTCATGAACTTTCCTGTAACATCGGCCATTATCTGATCTTTACAACTTTTACAAAAGTTGTTTGATTTCAGTTGTTAATTACATCACTCCCTGTTCCATGACTTCTCTCAGTTAACTCGGGGCTTTATACAGACAGTAAAAATAGTTCAATGGACAGAATCCACATAATGAAATAAATTATGTATTGTTTACTAAACATTTTCTTAAGTATAACTACAGATAAAAACTGCTAGAATAAGAAGCAATGTGGTAGAGTGGTTATACGATCAGCACTGGAGCCAGACTGCATAGCTTCAAATCTCTCCTTCCACCTGCTAGATGTGTGATTCCGGCCAGGTTTCTTTACTTCTTCAGGGTTCAGTTTAAACATCCATAAATAGAGATGATGGCAGAACTGTTACTATGAAATTCAGCTGAATTAATATTTATATAACACCTAGAAGAATGATCAGCATATCCTACAAGCTATTGAAGGGTTTATTATGTGAACAGTAACATCAATGGATACAGATTTAACTAGAACATGACGCTTGAGCTTACTGCTCTCCTCAGAACCAAGACAGTCCTGAGGGAAAGGATTCTTCCTGTCTTTGTACTGGTTTGAATTTTGTTGTCTATGGTCATCCAAATCCGTGCCTTCCTGTGTGTGGCTGATC